GATAAAACAATTGCTGATCTTTCGACTAGTTAAACAAATGGATTGGACTAGAAATGATTAAATAAGATATATGTGTGAGGATAATCGAGCATTTCAAGCATGCCTTCAATTATTTGAGGTTCAACTTTGATTGTTATTTTTCGTGTTTTTTCAAATTTAGTGAGGGAACTGATAGAACTGCTGACATTCCAACTAGTTAAACAAATGGATTGGACTAGAAACTATTAAATACGAGATGCTTGTGAGCATAGTCGAGTGTGTACCAAACATGCCTTAATTATTTGGGGTTCGATTTCTGATTGTATTTCTCGTGTTTTTTCTTGATTTATCTCTGCAATTTTTGCTGTCATAATCACAATTCTAACATCTAGTTCTTGATTCAACTACAGGTTGCAGTCTGAGTTAATGGCCCTAATGGTGAGAACTACAACCAATACTCAGTACCTACATTTTCAATTTTTGTCCCTTTTAATCGTGAAATATTATGGAATATCCGCATTCCCGAAGGAAAACAATATTTTCTGCCGGAAAGGAACGATAACTGTCAGCAAATATACAGTGTTTGAAGGAACCGAATACAAGTTATCCCTTTCATTTCCCCTCGACTATCCTTTCAAGATCCCAAAGGTTAAATTCGAGACCAGTTGCTTTGATCCCAACGTCAATTGGTACGAAACATATGCCTCAACATATTACAGTTAACAGTCTCTCATTCTAGTTGTGAAGGCGAATGCATATATCTGATTTTTCTTTGAATTTTCGTAGGATAAGTGGTCATCTGCCTATCTTGTCTCAACTGTTGCTCCAGAAGGCTGAATATAGAGTAATGGATCGCTCTCTACTTTCAGAAATCCAAAATAAACGTACAAATTCATTTGTATCCAAAAGCAGAAATCCAAAATAAACATGTACAAATTCATTTGTATCCAAAAGCAAAAATTCGAACCCACAAATCTAAGTTTTTCATTTAACTCATGAGCCTGGAGAATCATATCCACAGTATGATCCTTTCTATGGTACATTGAACAATATTTTTACTCGTAAATGAAAAAAACAAGACAGAATGTTTTCTCGAGTCAAGTAGATATGTAAAGAGATGTTGAATCCATACCTGATTTTTAAACGAAAGATAAAGTAGGTCAGTTTATAGAAACAGCAGCATCCGTTGTTCAATGATCACCAATTGTTCAATGATCACGATTTACTTAATAATATAAAAGAAATCTAGAACAAAAAGAAGGAACATAGATGAAAAGTGTGAAATGTGCGTTCACAGTTCATAGCACTTTGATCTTGTTTCTGCAGACTCGCTGCAGAGTCGAGTCGAGTCGAATGTAGCAATTTCTAAATGTTCCAGAGTTCTTTACTTTATACTGAGAAAATTAAGTGCTCGTGTAATTTACGTCTTCACTTTCCTCCTTATCCTTCCTTACTTTCCCTACAGTTTTAAGTAATTCTACACTCCATCAAAGCTATCATGAAAAAAACTTGCAAATACACCCTTCTCAATGTCCAGTTATGCACAAGGAAAAATATATGATTCTTGGCTTCTAAATAATAGCATAAAACTCAATTCGTGAGAGCACTGTCCATAACGGAAGAATTCCGAGTTAATGGAAACGCTTGGTTTCTGTTTAAGTTGTAGGTGTAACCAACCAGGAATGATTCCAGACAGACGCTTCAACCTTTATTTCCAGTTATCAAACATTATCCAATATTGCACCTATACAAACCTCTTCTATGTCACAATTTGAGAAATTCAGGGCATGCCAGTCAAGTTACATTCATAGCATCATGGTTTTATCATAAATATTTGCAAATGATAATGAAAACAATAACTACGGAAAAAAATACAAACCTTCAAGCAGAAAGCAATGGCAGATGATGCTTGAGTTTTAATTGCTGATCTCTTGATTATGCTCCAGTCTCATTGATTTCCACGTTTGATCTTTATCAGTACCCTGTAATTTGCAACAGCATACCAGGATTGTGTACTGAAATTGATGGAATTCACATTAGAGAAGAAACTCAAGATAGTGTGGTAATATTTCTGGAAAGGAAAATTAGAAGCCAAGAATCAAATAGAAAAATTTGACTTGAGCATGCTTTGTTTTGCTTAAAAGTTACTTTTCTGGAAAGTAAGTTATCGCCCACTATCCAGAATAGCTAAATTTTGTTAGTAAAAAGAAGCAACTATGAAAATCATGTTAGGTTGTGCTTGCTTGGTAGTGCTTTTAAGTGCTTGTAATCCCACGGAATGTGTGGTAATAAGTGGTAGCAAGTTGTGGGTCCTATGAAATGTGGATAAAAATATGTTTGACCAGCTTAAATTTTAAACTTTGCCAAACATGCACTAAATAACTAACTAAAAGTAAGTAGGACTTACATTTAAGCACTTCCAAAGCAAGTTCATGTTAACTTCGTTCCCAACTCCACGTCCATAATACAGCCTCCAGTTCATGTGCAAGGCACAAAAAGTTTATAGCATCCCTGTTACAATTTGCCAAGTGTATGGCTATAAAATCAAAGGAAGCAAACAGATAATGTGAGTACACAACATAATATTCATTGAGATGTCATTCAAACAAATATATCTCATATTTTCTGCGCATACAATTCTTCTTCTTCTTAAAGGAAAAATCCTATTAAAGCATAGTTTATCATCAGAGTGCAAGAACTTCTCCATTCTAAGAAGACGACATTTGATATCATACTTCATCAATTTAAAATGCCCCATTGTTGTTGTGTATCAGAGTACAAGAACTTCTCCATTTTAAGAAGACAACATTTGATATGTGAAACAAGTTAGCGCATGGTCGTCAAAAATTTCATTTACTGGAAAAAATTAAAAATAAATAATATTCAGATCAATATAGAATTTGGTATGTCAAGTTACACAAAAATAGTAACCAATGCAGCATAGCAGGTATACATAGACTATAGCTATGAAGGGAAGAAGAGAGAAGCAAAAAGAGAGAAAGAGGGAAAAAGCAGATTTCAATGTATTCAATATTTCAATAGCAACAGTATGTCATACAAAATCCTCAGTCTTTAAGCTTAAAATTGCAAATGAAGAAGGGAGATTTTCCTAATTTAGCCTAATGATTATGGAAGGGAAATGAAAAAAAATACTAGAAAATCAATCAAAATATAGATCTTATTCTTTTGCCTAAAATCAAGTCTAATTATGGCAAGTGTTTGCAAATATCCATTAGAATCTCCATCAGTAACAATGTTAAATTAATAAAGCACTCAGGTACATCCTCAAAAAAATAGTAGAGAACTACTAAAAGAAATACCTTCCAAGCTTCTGGCTTATAGAACAGAGTCAATTAATTCAAAAAACATAAGACTTCAATTGACACGGTACAAGAACACAGAAAAAGAAAATTGTCGCCTGAATGACTCAAAGAACAATGAAATTAATCCTGGATCCTCCATATTTTGTCAATAACTTGTCAACAAACCATGTGCCAAGTATCAGATAGAGAATGGCAGCTAGTTTCCAAAACACAAATAATGCCAGATGTTGAACTATCGTGTATAAAAGCTTAACTATTAATGAGGAGCCACATGTATTCTTTTAAATCTCATCTTCAGCGTGGATCGAACATGCAGATCAAATTCTTTTTTTGTTTTTTTTATCAAATGTCCCAATCATGCACAATTTTTCATTAAAAGTTGGAAATGAGACTTGAACTCAGGTCTTTTGCTTAGCTATGATACTATGTTGAACCATCTCGACAAAAGGCTTAAGCATTTAAAGAGATGCTATATGTATTCATTTAAATAATTATCTTCAGCACCAGATATAGCAATAATGACTTATCAAAAACATGAGGATATTCGAAGAAGGATAGGAGCAACAAATTAATTCTTCGCTTTCTCGGTTGCTCTAAATTGAAGTGAATCATTTGGTTTCAGCTAAATTCACGCAAGCATTTAAGCGCCTACAGTATAGCACAATCTCTTGTATAAAGATAAGTATAAACTACGAACTCTAATCTATTTTCTCTCCCACCATAAATGGCATCGCCTGAATTTCAAAAATTGTTAATGGGGACAACCAGGATTAGTCAGGAAGAGTTCTACTGACTACAGATTACAGAAGGGTAGTTTATCAAACCATTCTTCAAATGGTCATGCGTCAATGATGTAAACATGGCATCTTCCCATGGTCAGCTTCCAGCAAGGTCTTCTCCTGTTGGTACCAATTCATCAAGAGGTCTTCCTTCCTCGCTGAAGTTAACAACTGCTGTTTTCTCCTCTGAAGTAGTATTTAAAGTCCCGATTTTGCATCACTTGCCTGTATCTGGTTTGAATCAGGAATTGGCACTGATGATTGCTTATCATGATTGTCATCAATCAAGAACGCCTCATTAGATTCTTCATTTGGCAGAAATTTCTGATCAGTAAATGTTTCCTCCAAGAGGGATACACCAGTAGATTCTTTCCCAGAGCATTCAGGCCGCACATTAATTTCTGGAAAAAGTGCAGCTTGGCTGCTTTCAGTAGCACAAACATGGGGGCAAACTGGAGGGTTCTTATTAAGACACTTATGGCACTTAAATCCGATGAGCTTTTCAACTTTATCAGCTTTGAGATCAAAAGCATCTCCATGAAACAAATCTGCAAATTGTGAAAATTGTAATTTAATAACAAACTAATTATACTCAACAAATTTGGATGACTCTTCCCTGAGCTGGTTGTGCCAAACATCAGTCATGCATACATACCTATTTAAAAATGTAACTGTCATCTATCAAGAATATTAAGGGTTATTCTTATACAGGCAAGAACTCTAAAAACGATTTTTCTGAGCGAGCAGTTAATTCAAGAAGGAAAAATAATAATCTTCTACAGCGTACATGTGTTTATTTAGTGTAAGTATAGATAAATCAAGTGTAAAGATTGTTACCTCCACAAATCTCACAAGAAACATAAGTCAGCTCAGATTTGAATTCTAATTCACCACAGAGGCAGCATTTCGGCATACATGCGTTGGAAGTCGACTCTCCAGAAAGGACAAGAAGCAATTTACTTCTAAAATGCATCACCCTTTCATCGTTTAGCCTTCTTGACAATCGAAGACCATTCAACCAGTAACTATAATTGACCAGCGTTCTCTTCTTCTGCCAACTACTATATTTTGGCTTCTTCAGTTTGTCTTTTTTTGATTTAGCTTGTTTCCCTTTCTTCTGTCTTTTGATCTTTGTATCCAGCAAGGATGTCTTTACGACAGGTTTAGCATGCCTGGCAGAACGGCGCAGGGGTACAACAAGTTGAACCTTTTTATTCTTTCGTGATTGCACTCGTTGCTTGCCTTTGCCCAACTTTTTCCCTTTTCTGGAGCCCAATGGCTTCAATAATTTTGATGATTTCTTACTTTTTGGTGGCTCGGACTTCCCCTTCTTAGTATCCATTTCCACGGACTTCCCATTGAGACATTTATGGCATGTATATGTACACTGAGCGACAATCGACCCAGCAGACTTCCTTGCATGTCTTTTATGGAAAAAGCCTGAAAATCCATACAATAAGTTGATATTTTAAGTGCTTTTTAGAAGTAATTCATAAATCATGGAAATCACGTGAATCAAGCATGTAGTATATCCACTATTTCAAATTAAAAACTAGTTCAATCCACAAAGATACAAATTCATATTTGTAACCCCAATGTATCTCCTTATTTTACTGTTCCCTGACATCACCACCAGCACCACCCAACTGCTACTGGCACCTTTCTGTTGGCACAAGCATCAACTACCATCAATTTCAGACCCACTTTAAAAATCACTAACAAACTTTAAGGCACAATCAAGCGCCACCAGATCTTCTATAGCAAAGACAACCCCAGATCATAGCAAATGTAAAAAAGAAAACTACTGGAAAAACAGTTCAATATTTAAGGGAAAACATTATAGATAATGATACATGCTTAATACAATTGACAGTTGAGGTACATTTATTCTCCATATTCTATAACTATTCCTGCATGCAGGTAGCAAAAATTTCAGTTCCAAAATGAACATAAAGCAATAATTCCATTAAGCCTTGATAAACCAATATGACCGTATATGTATGGGTCAGAACACAGCTCCAGTCCAAAATAATTATCATTCAGGGGTCTAAAGAAAATGAACAGTTGAGATAATCTCTATTTCATGGCAAAGCATAAACTGTCTCAAGTTTATAGTGATTAACAAGTGTGCCCGAGTAAAAAAAGAATGCCAACACTAAACAACTCAATCGTGCAAGTATTGGATGATTACAGTTATTTATATCAAATCCTATAGAAGCATTGCAGGCAGCATAAAAGGAGAATAATTATTTGGTATCTGATAATCAAGAAAGTCCAAAATTTTCATTATGCAACTCCAAATCAATGCGTTGATTTAACACAATTAGTTTTGCCTAAAAATTTTGAAAAATCAGGTTTTCAAACAGAAGTACATGGGTTCAAATTGGTCCAACTAAGCATGAAAAGAAAAAGATGAAACAGTAAGATGGTAGACTAATAGAACAAATTTGAATCATGTTTAAACAATCAATATACTTTGAATTCCTTTCTCATGCACGCTGAATTAAACAATGATGAAGACAGAGATAGGCAGATGCAACAGTTGATTTGCCTTTGCAATATAGTGACATAAACCAGAATCTCTTACTCAAAGAGAGAAGTTTACCTTTGCAGTACTGGCAACTCACTGCTTCCCTGCAAATGGACAAAAGAAAACCGATTGCTGAGACTGCAAATTCAGAGGCCAAAAAAAGACTGGCAAGAAAACATAACAGTTTAAGCCACACTGTTCTCTAATACTGTTCAAATTAATGAAACATTGATATACATATCTTTTAAACCAGTACACATATAATTTGCAACATAAAAGGAAAAACTTGTCCATGCACAAATAACCTCACACCAATATCAACTCGTGTATCTATCATAAAGAAAGCCAATATGGGTACACCAACACACGTCCAACAGAAAAAAATTTAAACATCTAGATTATCTAACTTCACAAAAGAAAATATCAATAAGAATGACTCAAATCATTATGTAGTAAAACTACAACTAAAAAGTAAGACTGCACATTCAAAAGTCTCTGCATATTATGTTTGGTTATTTTTTTGATTTTACATCGAATCTAAGAACTATTAGAAGGGTCTTCTTTGTCTAAGGACAACTTGTTATCTACTGCCATGCATTTTTCCTTTCTTTGATAAAAAGATAGTCCTGTTTTTTTCTAAAAGAAATTCCAATATTAACAATTAGTAATCATATCATACCTGACGAGAACATCTTTGTTACAGTGTCCACACTGATAATTTTCCAATCTCTCTGCTCTCGAGAAAAGGTATGAAAATCCCTTTTCCTTGAAGGTTTTATTCGTTACCACACTGTTCTCACGAAGTTTTCCAGAACATGTCTTATTTGATTTGCGAGCAATTCTTTTCTCTTCAAACATTTTCAGGAGATGCAATGGAACATGAGACTCTTCCAGCCAATATTTCTTCCTTTCACTAGAAGAATCTTCAAGCATGGATCCATGTATCACAACAATATCAGGGATAAATCTTCTCTTGCCAAAATCAAGAAGATACCTAACCACCGATCCCTCAGAGCACTTCCTACGTATAATAACTTTTTTGAATAATTTGGCTGACTTTTGGGACTCCTTGTCTGTCTTTGATAGAATTTTCGGGTTCCCAATGTCATCCCATCTGATATTTGCATCAAGCTCTCTAACCTGGGCACATGAAAAATGTCGATGAAATATAACTTAGTTAAGTTGCAACACATATTGCTGTGTTCTTATCTTTTTCCCCTGTTGGATGGGGTAAAATGTAGAGCCAACAGCTGTTCAGAGAATTTTTTCATCGTACAGACCAGGAATCTAAACGAATGTAATTATCATAAACGTGATATTCTTTGACAGCTAGACCAAATTCCTGAATAAAAAATAATAAAAGAAAAGGCAAGCCCTTTAGAGAGTTTGTCGCCAGCCATCATTTTACATCTAGTTGGCCTTTAGGCCAAGGTGAATGGAAAGCAAATATTGGAATGAAGGTGGGGGACATATTGAATCATAAGAGAGACATGCCTGGAGAGCTAGCTGTTCCACGCTTCTTGATGTCTCAACAGAAGCTCGCCAGGCAACACACTTGCTCCTTTTTGCGTATTCTCCACTCTCAGGGTAAAGGATGCCTGGTATCTTCTTGCATCCACCTGCAACAATTTAAACTTCAAACATATTCAGAAAACTATGTATTCCACAAGGATCTAAGTTTAAACAGACGAATAGAAACTCCAGACCTTGTCGGGCAGATTTGGAAGCTAAAGAGCGAGGCAAAACCTTCCAATTGAACAGCTGACGTGAAATTCTCCCACCTCTCCACCAAAATAAGCTCAACCCATTTGCAGAACTTGAAGATGAAGTTGTATCCAGCTCCAAAAACCTTGCTCTCTTCCTGCCAATTCCATGTTTCATAGATGCTCGTACAGAATTTCTCACAACATGAGAAGCAGAACCCATCGTAGGAACAGAATCCACATACTTCAGCCAATCTGCTGAAAGTGCTCGAAGATGCAAGTTTGACTCTAGCTGGTATTGAAAGTTGCAACTAATCAGATAACTAGTATGAAGTACAAGACGGAAAACACGAATAAATGATTCAAAGCTGAAAACATGGAAATGAAAAGATAAGATAAAATTCATCTTATATCCATGTTTTACTGTTCCCGAGTATGCGTTTTTATCTCTTAAACTTAGTGTTCTCTTGTAGTCTAGAAATCTAAGATGGTAAAATGTTTACATTCTAAGGCCGTCAACAATGTTTTCTGGAGCCGAGAAATAGGTTAGCATATTTCATTATCTATCTTCCTGGAATTATGGTGTATGCGTGTATGTGTACTTTTGAAAACATTGTTACACCCTTGAGCCTCAAAGTGCCAAAAGAAAATTTCAGATTATCGACATTTACTAGACTTCGGCGGCTGGAATACCCCATTAGTTAAATTTAACAAGGAAGCTTTTTGTTTATCAATTTATTTCTAAATCTATCACCTGTTGACAATGCACTTAGCACAAGTTCCATACCAATGTATCATATAATCAAATTCACTGTTTCCAAATTTGAACTTCAGACAATATCCAAATGCCATGATCATTTTACTTCTACTGTAAAAGTCAGTTAAAATGCACAGCCTATGGCTATTGTTCTCATCAAAAGAAACTCGAGCCCAGATCCTACACGATATGTCATGGTTTGCTTTATTGGACCAAATCATCATCCCATTCTTGATAATAAATAGTTCTCCAAGTTGTCAAAGCAACCCAAGATTTCTTTTCTGTGACAATTCACATGGCTGGGCATTGTTAACAAATTCAAAAGTTACTTGTTCAGACAGAGCCAGATAATGAACTCTCACTTGAATGAAAGATACTTTCTGACAATCATTTTAAAAAGGACAAACTATTTCTTTAAGAAGACGATAATCTTTAGAGTTGAACACCTCGGCATCAAAAATATTGAAATATACATCCACAAGTATATAAAGTTAGATAGAGATCCAATAAGGAAATATTCTTACCTTAAGTAGAAAACTTTTCAATGAAGCGATGTCAGACACTCCAAGAACACTTTTACGCCAAAGCTCAGAATATTGAGGATCTAACCATGGGCCCAACAGAAGCCCTTGAAGACGATCTTCAGTGCAAATAATATGGCACATAACATCAATAAGATGGCTTTTCATGTTCTTTCTAGACCGAATACCCAAAACCTCACTAGTAAAATTTTCAACAGCAGGACCATTTTCATTCACAATGAATAAGCAGTCCCTTTCCTCTTCAGGACCTTGGCAAGTGAAGCACCACCCACATTTTTCTTTCCTACTGTTTGCACTTAAATTTTGAATATTCGGCCAGCATAAATAAGCATATTTACTTGATATAGCCTTCAGCTGCCCAGTAATAACCTCTTCTTCTGACCTTATGATTTTTTCTGATGTCTTTTCTGATGATTTACGCATTAAAGCTTCAACAACTGATGATGCCGTCCAAGCAAATTCATAAAAGTTAACATAAGTTGCTGCACAATGCCCTTGAGGCATAATTTCACAAGGATTTATGATGGATGGGGCATGGCCATGATTTGCAGAAATGAGATTCATTCTTTGCTCTATTTCTAAGATAGTAGATGTTAAATAATGATCTCCAGCGTTCACAAACTTCGATGGAATTTCAGAATTATATGATGATATACCGGTGCCTCTTTCTGAACAATCCTGCCCACTTTCCTTAATGTTATCAGTGTTAGTCGCTGCTTGGGAGACTTCGGCTGATCCTTCGGAACTTGCCAATCGATTTTCCATCTTTGCACCGTGGTTATCAGTCTCCAACATCATATTGACACACTCCTGAACCTCAGGTTCTATGTTACAAGTGTAGGTAGAGACAACGGATTTTTCTTCCGACTTTCTTTCAGCAGCATCCTTGACATGCGCTTCTGAAGGTGTAGGATGCATATGAGGCAGCAGCCCTTTTATAGGAAAAAGAGAGTGTATAGAGAAGGACCGAGCATCCAAATCAGTTTTTGACCCATCATCTCCATGAGTGACATTCCAATGCTTACTAATAGCAGTTATTATTGTGCCATGTACAAATGGGGATGACTCTAGTGCATCTATAAGGGTTGGTAAATCATTTTTATGGTAGTACCAAAACGAGTATTCGTCATTGCATAACTCTGACCTGCATGTATGGTTATGCAGAAGTCAGCATACATTTAAAGCAATCATGCAGGTACAAAGTCAAAAAATTCAAAACGCCAACAAATTATACGACTAAAAGAGACTCACAAAGTAAAAAGGAATTGCATGGTTAATTAATAACAGGTTAATCATCATAACAGAATCACAAGGCCAATAATAACAAGAGATTTGAACTTCATGGAAAATGTGGAAGAGGTAAGTTCATTATTGCAAGATAATTGCAGCACCTATTGGAAAGAGGATATAAAGAAAGCATAATATAACTTTTTCAGCAAAATTTGGAAGTGCAATGATTGATAGAGTAAAATAATCTAATGATTGTGACTGACATAAATACCGGTTATTGTGGTTTCTAGAATTAGAACTTCTAATGCACGTAGATCAAATCTAGGGAAATATATCACATTTAAGAACAATCTAGCTCTCAGCAGCTCAAAACTAAATGAACAACAATGTTAATGGCTAAAAGATCAATCAATGAAGCAAGTTACATTATGCACTTTTACAAAGTACTAAACTAAGCGGCTAGTGTTTAGGTTGACTATGCTAGCTACTAAGAATCCAACAATCAAAAGCGACGTTATTTGACCAGCTGATATCTTGATATATAACAAACACAATCTTACGCTCAATGTTTAAAAAGATTCAATCGGGTACCGAGAAATTTTACCTCAGTGAGTCTATGCATAAGCCAACATCAATACAAACCAATAGAACAATTCAAAAGAATATGAAAATACAAGTGTCCATAACAAACCATATACCATCTTGAAAATCCATAATTAAACAAGTTAACAACATTAAAACCCTGTTTGATTGCCACATTTTTCATGAAAAATGTGGCATTCAAGGAAAACGAATTCCATTTTGGCCGTTTGATTGCAACGTGAAAATGGAAACCAAATTCTAAAGTACAACCACTTTAAACTGCATTTTCTTTGTTTTCATGGAAAACGAATTTCTATGAATTTGGTGGATTTTTATTTTCCAACTAACATGGAATTTGAATTCCTTTCCACATTTGCCTATCAANCCAACTAACATGGAATTTGAATTCCTTTCCACATTTGCCTATCAAACGGACCCTAAGTCTAATTTGCTGATAAACCTAAAATAGATGAATAATGTAAATAGTTTATTCTCAAATTAATATTCACGTAACAAAATTACAGTTCACTACTTAGAGGAAACAACCTACAAGTCTCTCATATCATCATTGCTAATAGGACTTCTAAGAGAAATCATCAACATATTTGATCCGCATTATCATCCTCCTTATCACTATTGTAGTTACTCTTTATTCTTTGTAAGCATCCACTTGCAAAGAGTCTTTTCCTTCCCTTATGTGCAAGGCATATAGACTAATGAAAAAATAGCCCAAATAGCTTAGGCCAATAATGAAAAAGCTAGCCTTGAGTAAATCTCAATAAGTCGAGGTGTAAGCCTTGACAAATGGCACTCAAGACATAAGCATCGAGGCATTTAATGTAAGCTTCAAACATCCTTTAAAAAATACATGGGTCCCATATTAGACAGTTTCTTTCTTGGTCTAACGGGGATGCCCAGTTAACATAGACTCAAATATGTTCTTTTTTTTTTATTGACACACTTCCACCCCATCTAACTGCTCTCCACATGTCAAGACATTTTGTAAATTGAAAATTACGTGCTTAAGAGGGACTATAATTGATTACGTGTCAAGACATTTCTTTACAATTTTCTTCCTCTTTTTTGAGTAATGCTAATGTTGTTTAACATTTAATACGTAAAAATGTACAATTGATGCCCTAGTAGTTAGTAACTCCATAACTCGAATAGATATATTAAATACCCAACAAAAACTATTTTGCGCTCAAAAGTGGATGTAGTGCCGATTGGAATTGAGGATAAATTATAGGAAGAACATAAGTGGTTAGCACATGCTTTGCATAGACTTAGAAAGACTCCCACTATAAGAGTGATATGATATTAGTAGAACAAATCAAAAAGGGGATAAACAACGTGGCCGTTGTAGTTATTAAGGATCGAAAAGCTTTAAATCTCCAAATATATCTAACACTGAACCTATTGGCGTAACGGAAAAAGAATCATATAGTCTTAATTTGTTGTGGTAATGATGCCAATGCATAAAAACATAAATTCATGTATCAGTATAAGCGATAGAATATACCATAGTTAAATAAAGAAGTTGTGGAATTGAGTGTTCTATCCCATCTCTCATTATTAGAGTGGCGCATATGTGCTAACATGTTGTCTTGATTCAATTTAATGATTTTCCAAATTCTAAAATGGTACTCTCTTTCTACTGAAAAATTTCCAGCAAACAATGCTAACAAGAGGAGAAACTCTTCACTCTAAGAGCATAAAGCTCTGCTTTTACTCAAAAAAAAATTCTTTCTAGTCTTAGCGCGTACGATAAAACTTACAAAGAGAGAAGACTCAGAGTAAATTACTAAGTATCTATATTCTTTTGAGATCTAGTTTGCTAGTAGATTAAAAAATGAATTTTGTTAAAGTATCGATTATGTATTCAAGCCGTAGCTTGATAGTTCTTCCATTATCTTATACAAAACGAAATCAAATGGAAATATAGCGAAAAAGAAGCAAATACTCCGCTAAAACTCAAATAGGAGCTGGCATCAACACAAAATAGGTTAAATGGAGGGTGACTCGGCCAGGGTGGTTGGGTGGTCAAAAGCAATAGACCACAAATGTGTTGAAAATTATAACGCATGTGTTTATGTTCAAGGAATAAAATACCAAGGAGACGATAGGGAAGGTTATTTTCTTTCGTAGTTGTAAACCACACAATTATAAAAGTGATAGAGATAATCGGTTGTCTTTCGATTCACACAAACTATTATTGATTATTAGTATGAATAGACCAAAATAACACAATGTGATGTGGTTGTGTTGGCAACTAAATTTGAATACACGTCTTTCTCTATCAGCTTAAGCTAATATAAAATGGTTCAATGTGATATCAAAGCGAGCGGGATTCTTGAGCTCAAAGCACGCCGCTGTCCATATGTAGAAGTTGTGCACGTCACAAAATGAATATGGCTTGCATGAGCGAGGGTGTGTTATGTCCTCTAACAACTCAGGTTTTTAGGTGAGATAATTTAAAATGTTGCAAAGGATTGATTTTATTAGATATTGGATCTTTCGAGATGTGTAGTCGTGAATCCTCTTGACGAACAAATTGAAGCTTCGATGACCAAATGGCTGAAGGGTTGGAAGATTGAATAAGTCATGGTTTTCTTGTTGTCCGGTTAAGTAAGAGAAATTCTATCAATTTAACTCAATGGCATATTTTCCTTCTTTTTCGACTGAATATTAAGACCATTGCACATTGTGCAGGTAAGCCAATGAAAATCAGAGAGGAAGGGAATGTTTGCAGTTGTTACGACTCAATTACAAAAGAAGATTCACTATTAAAGCCCCAAAAATAGGTATGTCATTACTCTCGTTTCATATGTACATGTTACAATTATCTATGTTCAAGTGTGTATCAATCATGTAGTACCAGGCATATTATTAACCCATGATCAATGAACTAAATAGAGGATCCCTACTTGACATGAAACAAAACATGAACTGATAATTCATCCTTTCTAGATGATTGCTCAATATCAACTGTTTAATCCATCTCAACATCATCTCCTCCTTAATAACCGGACTAACCACTTCATTGCACGATGTAAGGAAAAGTCTTGTACTATTGAAATATGGTCCACGCAATAGTCTTATGCATTGGACCAAGTCTCCTTTCGTTCTTGGAAAAACCTCGCTTGATCAGGGAGTAATTAGAGTTGCAAAAAATAGATAACTCCATATTTATTGGGAACAAGGCTCAAGTATGTTTAGCTCAAGTAAAAGTTACTTCTTTTGCCAAATGTGATTTTCGAACTTGCTTGTCTTGTTAACAAAAATTACTAGATTCTACAAAAATAACTTCTAAGCACAGCCAAATGGGCTTTTTTCCCTTTTTTTTCTTTTTTTTTTAACCAACAAAACTAAGGATAGGAGGCTTGCACCACTAGAGTTAGAATTACAACATGCCAAAGGAGCCATGATCACTGCAGCCAGTAAAGAAATCAACACATAATAATCAATAACTCAATCCCCTTGCAAGTGCAATGTAGCCATCACAATAGGCAAAAATAAATATGCATGCCCACCCTAATAAGCCACCTTATGATTACCAAATTGAAACTATCACCATGATATTGGATACTGTAAGCATCCAACACCAACATAAGGTTGATAAAGTGTCACCAAACGCAGTCCAAAAGAAATTGCTGTTTCTTTCTTCCACAACTAGCAATGGACAGAACCTTTTCCAACAGATCCAGATGCAATAGCACTAAATCAACTATACATGCACATTAGCCAAACAATAGTAATGTGCAAAAGGCAGAAAGGAAAGAGGCTGACCCATGATTCAGCATTCTCGAAGCATGAAGAAAAGCTAGAGCTTACAAAATAATAATAATAATAATAATAATAATAATAATAATAATAATAATAATAATAATAATAATAATAATAATAATACTAAAATATATATATATTATAATAATAATAATAAAATATATATATATGTGCTTAGACTGTTTAGAAATGGCATCTCAAAATATCAGGCATTAAGTCGATGTATTAAGTCAATATATATATATATATATATACACCCACTGCTTTTTTCACTACCATGAAAGGCGCAACAACATTATGACTATTAAAACTTTACAAAACTCAGATATTTATAAGATCTGTCTACCAACTTATGAATTGTTTCGTTTGTGGACCTAAATGATTGATTAACTATTCACAAAAAATAAATTCACGTAATTTTCTTGGTTTTTATAAAGAAAGGAACTTACACCAACAGATAACCACAGCTGCTATAATATAGTCGGCGGTAAGGATCCATTCCCAACAATTCAGCTCCTCGAATAGACTTCTCCATTTTCATCCAAGGCTTATCCTTGTTAATTGCACATTCGGGGCAATACCAATCCCCCTCTGGCAACAGGCTGCTGACAACTCCTACGCACCTGGAATGAAATGCTGCAGGACAACCGTCACAACATATTAAGTTTCCATCCATCTTACATAGGCAGCATTCATCACTGTTCCAATCTGCAGTTTCTTCACCATCCTCCTCTGTGATGCAAGAATTGGTAGCAACATCCATCATAGCCTTTCTTTTCTTGGAGCTGTCAGACTTCATAGTCCGAACAAAATCCACTTGGCGTTCTGTTGCCAGTGTCCTTCTATTTATCTCTAACCTGATGGATTCTACTTCCATCGCATCATCACAAAGGCGCTGCAGTATCTCAATCTTCGTCGATACAGGTAGTTTGTAATAGTCACTCTGAGAAAGCTTCAAGTGACACAGATCAAAACCAGGTATGTATTCAGAACTGTACAGTAACAGATACTCAACCGCAAACATGGGCCATGTGATCAAGTCTAGCAAATCCCAATTAAGAGACCTAAGTAACAAATTAAAGAAAATAATAAGTATCAAGGAAGGGGATGTCAAATGCATAAACTTTTGGAATGAAAGTAAACTAAATACCTGAGACAATTAGATGAGGACAGATCACCTTCATTGGACAGCAACACCAAATGCTTCCGTAATGTTTGCAAAAGGGAAACATGAATGGAATCAAACAATAATGTAGAATAGTTACATTTCACAGATGCCACAAAATCATCCAGCTCAAAGGGGCATAGAAACAGCGAAACACTGAAAGACCTCAAGAATGCATAAACAGAAAGAATGTTAAATGCAGGAACTCCATTTAAATCCAAATTCCTGGAAGAAGGTGGCAACTCCACCTTTGGCGGAAGAACGTTTTCCTCAGATTTTTCACAACCCAACGCTTTGATCTTTTCCTCGCAAACTGAGCTAATAGCTGGAGAGGACAACTGATCAGTGACTCTGTCTAACCCTGCTGTATTGAAAATGTGATCTTGACCAGAAAATGAATCCCTTTTCACTCTGCGGTTGCTCCTTCTCAATCCTGTTTCTGGCGTAGCAGATGTAATATTATTATCAGATACATCTCTTCTCTTCCTACCTCTTCTTCCTCCTGGCTCACTTCCAGGAACTTGGTTATCATAATCAAGTACTCCACTACCACTTTCTCGTGGGGTTTTGTTGTTGTTCTTTGAATTTATATTCACATTCTCATTTTCCCCATCCATGTTTACCATCTCTGGCACAGCCAAGTTAGCATTGTTATCCAATACCTCTCTTCGCTTCCTACCCTTTCTGCCCCTTTGCGCACTCACTGGAACCTCATTTTCATAATCAGCTCTGCCAGCACAGTTTTCCACTGATTCTCCTTTTTTTTCTAAATTTAGATTCACATTCCCATTTTCAACCTTCACACTAAATAAAATACCCTTATTTTCCCCACCAATCTCTTCCCCCTCCAGCTTCTCTTCTTCTGCACATAATTTTTCATTTTTCTCAAACTGTCCCAGGAAATTAGCCGGATTCTTAATCTCATTCTCTGATAACCCTAAATTCAAGTCAAAACAAACCCTTTTTGCATCGGGACTAAAATTCTCAGAATCTTCATTTACATCCAAATTTAAATCAATTAATTCTTTTCTTTTCCCCTTCGTGTCATCTGAAACCCTTTCACTGAAACCCATACCCTCATCCCTCAATTCCAAATTCACAGCTTCATTCAAATCCACACCTTGCAGCTTAGCCCCACCACCATCGCGATTATCATCCAAAGTCCCCCCATAATCATCATTTAAATTATTAAACCCATCATCATTTAAATCCAACCCTTTATTCGAATTCAAACCAACCGCATTTAATTCCATTTCCCCAGAATTACCAGAAGCGCCACTCTCAATTACTGAAATACCAATTTTACCTGTATTCATATGGCTCCGCTTCCTCCGCTTGCGAACAAGCCTTCTGGTGGGCTCCTCCACGGGGGATGGCTGCGCTTCCCGAGCCGACTCCAGTCCCTCGGGAGACACCAATAGAGAACTAATTTCAGTCAAGTCCAATTCCTCAAAATCGCCGTCCTCGTACACGATCTTGAAAAACCTAGTTGAAGCGTCGTATGATTCGACAGAACCGAAGAATGTACCGTGACCTTCAAACTCTTTCTTCACCTTTCTCCCGACATACTCCATTTCCCCTAAAATTCAAACCATCATAAATAGGAAATAAAAAAAATAAAAATCGAAGAATAAACTGAAACTGAAAGAATAAAACCCTTAATTTTAATTGATCTGTGAACCTCTCTGAGTCTCTGAATTTAGAGAGAGGGGATGAAAATTGTTGGGAGTTTTTGCTCTGTCTCTCTCTCTCTCTCTCTCTAGACTACAAAGATTAAAGAAAAGTTGGTGACTTGGTATGCTGATGGTTTTGGGGAGTGGGGACCGCGCACAGTCCAAACCATGCGAATAGAGAGACGTGACAGAGTTCAAAAACGGATAAAGAAAATTACTTAAATTATCAAAAATAAGTACTTAATTAGGTTTGACCGTACACATGTATATATGTATGTATTTGTATTCGAATAGATGACGATGAAATTTTAACTTTGACTGACGTAGCGATTTACTGAACAATGTTAATTGCGATGTATGTATATTTGTCTTTTGGTAATTGAAATACATTTATTGAGTAAGAATAACTTTGACTGATGAAAATATTTATTAAAAAACTTTTTTTGCGATAGTACATATGTGATAACTTTATCAGTTGATTCACATCATCAATCAATCTACGAGTGGATTCTCTAATTTATTGTCCAATTCATTAAATTGTATCAGATTTTCATTAGTATGTAAATCAAGTAGTTCATTCAACCTAAATTGGTGTAGATAGCATTATCCTAGTAAATAAGGTTTGTGTGCGTGTGTGCGCATTTGTGTATTTGAAATTGAATGCAGCAATAATAACTTTAATGATGTGATTTAATAAAGATGGTTTTTTGCCATAATAGCACATATATATGTATTTGTCATTCAGTATGATGACAATGCAATAGTAACTTTGATTGACTAATTGGTTTATTGAACAAGGTTAATTTCGATGTAGGTATGTATGTATTTGTTTGCTATTGGGATTTTGGAAATGTTGGTAGTTGTAATTAAATACGTTGACTGAGCAATAATAACTTTGACTGCTAGAAAGATTTACATTAATACTTTATTTGCTGTAGGTATGCAATGTGTGTCAACTTTATCAAATGATTCTCATAATCATTATAGGAAGCGAATTCCTTCATTCATCGTCCAATTCATTAACACACACCACCAAAAGTGATTATATATAGCATTATTCTAGTAAATAAGGTAATGTGTTTGTGCATTTGTTGGCATTTATGTATATTTGAAGTTGAATGCAATTATAATGCAATAATAACTTTCACGATGTGATTTAATAAAGATGGTCACAATAGCATACATATTCATATTTGTCATTCAAATGATGATAATGCAACAATAACTTTATCATGCAAATTTGGTAAATAATGGCATTAGATATATGTAATTTTGTCATGTTTTGAAATTTTCATAAATATGTTGTATAGAGTGATTTAGTAAATGAGGCTATTTGACAGATAAGCGTATTTATATGTTAGTGCGTAGGTCATTGAATGTGATTACGATGCAACGATACATACACAATTATCATTGAATGCAAAAGTGATGCAACACTACTGAAATATTTTGACAAAGCAATTAGTTGGTAGCGGTGATTTTGTCTTGTTTCGATATTTACAATGCATGTACATGCAATAGTAACTTTTAACAGAGTTGTTTAATAGAGTAGGTAAGTTGATAGCGGTGCTCTTGTTCACTTTCGAAATTTACAATTTTGCATGTATGTATATTCCACATCGATATTAACGAATAAAATGCTGTGAAAAATGTTTTTGCTAAACGGTGTCTGATTTGTAAACGTTTCACGATACAATTCAGATTTTTTATCAACAACTTTATCATGCAGATTTGGTAAATAATTGCATTAGATATATGTAATTTTGTCATGTTTTGAGATTTTCAGAAATATTAGAGTAATTAGTAAATAAGGCTATTTGACATATAAGTGTATTTATATGTTAGTGCGTATGTCATTAAATGTGACTGCGATGTAACAATACATACACATATATCATTGAATGCAAGTGATGCAACACTACTGAAATGTTTTGACAAGGCAATTAGTTGGTAGCGGTGGTTTTGTCTTGTTTCGATACTTACAAATGCATGTACATGCAATAGTAACTTTTAACAGAGTTGTTTAATAGAGTAGGTAGTTGGTAGCAGTGCTCTTGTTCACTTTCGAATTTACAATTTTGCATGTATATATATTCCACATCGATATTAACGAATATAATGCTGTGAAAAAAGGTTTTTGTTAAACGGTGCCTGATTTGTAACGTGTCTCGATACAATTAAGATTTTTTATCCTCACAGGCAATGGCGGATCTAGCACCCGACGAGCCACGACGGACCGCATGCTGGTTCCGCCGGGAACGGTTTTTTTTGTTGACAATGAATGAACTTTTTAGATTATATACGTGGTAATTTGTTTTATTTTCAAACATTTCTTGTAGCTTAGCTGATTATAACTTCTATATTCATATGGGAAGTTCCAGATATTCGAACTCATGACCTCTCCTTAGAATATTGAAAACTTGACCATTGTGGCACTCGTTGAATTCGATACTAAATTTACCAGAATAATATATGTTACATTTTACCGATTTTAGTGCAAATGTAAAAATTTGAACTCGTCATCTTCCTTTGAATTATACAAAACTTGACCACAATATTATTTAGTAAATATTACTAATTTTTACAACAAAATTATATGTGTTCAATTTGAACAAAATAATTGTTATATTTAAATTTTAAACCTTGTTTGATTTCTTTTTTTCAAAATACATTTTTCTCTCTTCTTTCAACCGCACATTTTTCAATAAAAAAATATTACATGCAAACTCAAAATTTTTCCTTTTTTTAACCACACATTCTCCATCAAAACAATATTTCAAAAAGTATTTTTATTTTTTGCAAAAAATGAGCATCAAACGGGACTCTTAATATTTTATTGCTGACAATGGTCGACGATCCACGACCGCCCGTGCTAACTCAAAATCTTGGGTCCGTCACTGCTCACGGGTTCCTTTTAACTCGATTAGGTCCATTTGTCATAAATTTAGCGACTCACTAATGTTAGATTATTGCATTTTTTAAATTGTTAATTATATTAGAAACTATTGGATTGAATTTTCGATAGTTACGGAATGTTTTAAACTAAAGCCAATGGGATAATTTTCTTAGTTTTGAAAATAACAACAGCTATGTGCCTAATTTCCTCTTTTCATCTGATACTTGGACCCTTAACAGTCAATAGTTCAGCTTCACTAGTGGACTTTGTTTTCATTGGACGTACCAAGCTTTAGAGATGGTGTTAAGTTGTGGGTTGCAACAATTTTCTCCGATCCAACTACTTGGCCCATGGTTATACGAAAACAAGCTTCCTTGGCGTTTTACATCAAATCAGATACGACCCATTTCATCCCACTCCACCCACTTTCGGCGGAGCTAGGAGCGAAAAAGCAAGTCTCTTTTCTAACTGACTTATCGAGAGGTAAAGTGAGGCATTTGGTTTGCTTATTGCACATTATTAACTGCGAGTCAATCAATCTACTTATATATGATTGATGGTATGAAGGTTACACTTGCATATTATATATTGCCATATTTTTCATCTTGCCATCGCCATGAAGTTACCTCTTTCTTTTTATCTAGATGTAGCCTCCGTATCCTATCCTACTATATTAAAAAGGGCAGTTTTGGGTTACTGTGGATGTAACAGTAACCCAATGAGATGTTGATGTTCATTTTTCCTGTTTTCACTCCAGTCCTTCAGTTTTATACCACATCATTTTTTCCCCAATCTGCTATAAATTTTTTGAATAATTTGGTATTTATTCCTGCATTATGCTTTATTCTCGCCCACATATTTAGAATCAATACAATGTAACCAAAAGAAAATGACTGTTCACGGGTGAGATCAAAGATTATCGAATAGGACAACATTTCCAGCTATTATTTAATTCACGAGCAGACAAAAGTTAACATGATGAATTGAAATACCTTAATTGTTAACACTCTTATAATTTAAAAAAAAAAATCCCCATGCTGCGCGGAGACACGATGCCTCTGCATGCGGAGATTTAAAAAAAAAAAAAATTCTCTCACAAGCAAAGAAAGTCTTTGCGTGAGCATGGAGGAGTGTGTGGAGACTAATGTCTCCGCACGCGGACAATTTTATTTTTATTTTTTTAACTCTCAATAGTTTTGGATACAAGTCTTCATTTTTTTTCAAATTGACGGCGATACCATTTACTTACATTTTACACAAACTAAATACAATTTCACTTATTAATAATTTGCTATGTACCGTTTGTATTTATATTAAAATGTGTTGTAATTTAAGTTAGATTTGCTTATAAATTAATTATATATCTTCAACACGTACATGAAAATCATAATTTCTTATTCCGGAGTTAGTGATTATGCAGTCATTTGAATTATTTTTTCCTCCATTTTTTTAGCTTTATGATTGCGTCAACATATAAATCTGATGGAAAGACTTGTGCATTACCATTGGAATAATGAGGTTTGATTCTAAGATTTGTATTCCATAGATTCATTTTTCAAACATGTATATTTAACAATGAAAAAAAAATGTTCTTTACATACCTAATATATTTAATTTACATTTATTTATTCTATTAGAATCTTGACCTGAAGTTAAAACCGTTGAGATGGCTTATCAAGGACGGTTGTACCACTGTTTCAAAGGAATATGCAATTCTGGATTTTAACTTTGAAAACAAGTGTACTCGCCAGATGATGTTGCAAAGAAGCATAAAAGAAGGAAGTACAAGTATACATTCACTTGTGCAAATAATAGGCGAGTATTTAAACTATTTACGGTTTACTATAATATTTCATTTTCTGCTTACTTTAAATTTATATTTATAATACTAATTTAATCAAACGTAAAATTCTTCAAGCCAAACTGTGCATTTTTTTGCTCAAATATATAAAATGCTTCATTTTTGGATATCCAATAGAATCAGTTTCTCAAGATAGGATGACTATATACAGATGAAACATTGAGGTAGACATTTGCTATAATGAATACTTTCTACATCCTCGTTGATCGTGCTATTAATGGATAACCATATTTGTACAAAAAATTGCTAGAAATATCTGTTACACTCATTTGATTAATACTAAAGAACACAGCTAAAGAGGCTCTCACAGTGCAGTTACAAACAGAAACTTAGCATATGAAATCAGTTGTCCTTCGTGCCCACATGTCAAATGTCCACCTTTTGAATATTGGACGAATTTGCTACAAATGTACTTTCTTCTAAGGTTTTCCTTTTCCTTTTAATGATGTGTATAGTGTCTAATTTGGTCAACTTATATGTGTTGAAAATTCATTTGACAAGATGCATATATGTTGACTATTGTGGCATAAACTAAATTGCCCGATGCACAAAATGTGATGGAGAGTGCTAACATGTGTGTTAATTATTTTTCCTAATCCGCTAAAACTTATTTATCATAAATTGTTTTGACTCATTCCATATTGTGTGTTATTCATTTGCTTAATTTTCTAATATTTAACTGTATAATTTTTTTTATCTTTAGTACTTTTTATTCATTTTTTCATGTACTTATGTTGGGGAATTGAATTTTTTTGAGATCGCCGTTTCTCTCTTATTTTAATGTTGTTTGATATTTACAGTAGATTTAATCAAATATTTCTTACTCCTATAAACCTGCAATCTTTATGCATGTCAAACATTTCTATTATCATCTATACATCTACATAAATGCAATGTTTTCAATTTTATTTTTGGTNAACAAGTGTACTCGCCAGATGATGTTGCAAAGAAGCATAAAAGAAGGAAGTACAAGTATACATTCACTTGTGCAAATAATAGGCGAGTATTTAAACTATTTACGGTTTACTATAATATTTCATTTTCTGCTTACTTTAAATTTATATTTATAATACTAATTTAATCAAACGTAAAATTCTTCAAGCCAAACTGTGCATTTTTTTGCTCAAATATATAAAATGCTTCATTTTTGGATATCCAATAGAATCAGTTTCTCAAGATAGGATGACTATATACAGATGAAACATTGAGGTAGACATTTGCTATAATGAATACTTTCTACATCCTCGTTTATCCCGCTATTAATGAATAATCATATTTGCACAAAAATTGCGAGAAATATCTGTTACACTCATTTGATTCATACTAAAGAACACAACTAAAGAAACTACCATAGTACAGTTACAAACAAAAAGGTAACATATGAAATCAATTGTCTTTCGTGCTCACATGTCAAATGTCCACATTTTGAATAGCCTTATGAGCACATATATATAATTAAGACTATTAGAGTTTGAAAATTTTTTCATATTTCTTGCGACACCTGTAATTCACTTCTTTAATGTTTATATTTTTGGTGTTTGATTTGATCTTTGTGTTATGGGTGGAAGTCTTAACATCTCGTTTGAAGTCTCAAATGATTTATTCACATGATAACTATGGTGAGTTTCTAATGACTTCATTGCTTTATTAAAAGCATGTTTAGCTAAGGTTAAAAAAGTTCTTTGTGCTAAATAAGCTTAGATATACTATTTTTCCTAACCTCTTGTTCAAAAAGTTAATAATTTACTTATAGTTAAGCTTTTTAAGCTTAGCAAAAGTTGTTGACAATTTTTTATTAACGATAACTTCCAAAACTGTTCATTTTATTTATGTTTTACATGTTTGTTGTTTAAATTCTAATTTAATTATAACTTGATATTCTTACTTTGTAGCCATATGACCATTGATTACATGGGCCTTCTCATTCTAGACAATGAGTGGTTTTCAGTTATAGGCTAAAACTGCTGCTTAATCTGCTGAATTAGTGTTTAAATGCAAGAATGCAGATTATGTAGATAGCAAAAAAGTGGAACATAGTCTGAATTATTCGACGAATTTGCTAAAAATGTACTTTCTTCTAAGGTTTTCCTTTTTATTTTGATGATGTGTATAGTTTCTAATCTAGTCAACTTACATGGGTTGAAAATTCATTTGATAAGATGCATACAGAGTTGGCTATTGTGGCAAAAACTAACTACCTGAGGCACAAAATGTGAAGAATGCTAACAGGTGTGTTAATTATTTTTCCTAATGCGCTTTAATTATTTTTCCTAATGCACTAAAGCTTATTTCTCATAATTTTTTTGGCTCATTCCATATTGTGTGTTCTTCTTTTACTTAATTTTCTAATATTTAATTGTATAATTTTTAATTTTTAGTACTTTTTTATTCCTTTTTTCATGTATGATGGACAATTATATTTTATTGAGATCGTTGTTTCTCTTTTATTTCAATATTGTTTGGTATTCATAGTAAATTTAATCAAATATTTCTTACTCCTGTAAACCTACAATCTTTATGTATGTCAAACGCTTCTATTATCATCTACATACACGTAATGTTTTCAATTTTATTTTTGGTGAGTTTCTCTGGGCAGTAATTCAGCTTTTAAAATAATCACCTTATTAGATGGAGCAACAGCGAAACAATAATATGCTCCCAAGACTCTTGAATAATCCAATGAATCTTAAACTACTTTTTTTTAATATCTACAATTTCTACACTAATAAAAACACAACAAATACAAAATTTGCACAACGCACGTGTCAACGACTAGTCTAGATCAGAATGAATCTTTTAGATTTAGAATTGACGGAATAAGATCAAACTTTTTTAGGCAATGAACGAGTTGAGTAAAAAAAAAGGCACGGTCTCTTTACCTCTTGGTAGGGATGGTACTGTAAGTGTTATGTCCTAGGTCCAATCAACTTTGGACATAAACACTTTGAATATATATAATCAATGCATATATATGGCAATATCTATTATTTAATTGATCGGATCATATTGATGAAAGGATTATAATTTCACAGTAAACGAACAAGTTTGGTTCTGTCATACTACGTGATATTTCCTGTCACATATATTGCCCTGACACATTGCTAGATGTCAATCTGGGACAACGAAAGTGAATTAGTGATAAATTAAAAGGGGCGTTTTAATTTATTGATTTTGATTAGATCAAAATAATAATTCACGTCGTTAAGTATCGTGATCGGGAACCTAATGGGTCACACACAAAAGAAAATCAAAAAAATGAGATTTACCAATTAATTAATTGACAAGTGTTGGATAATTAATTAATTGGGTTGTTTATTAATAGGCACAAATTAATTAATTGGATTAATTAATGAGAAAATTACCTGAAACCCTTTTTTTCAAAATTACATTTCAAAAATAAGGTGGTAAAGTTTAGATTTCAAAATTTAGGTGGTAAATAGGATTTTAATTAATATTATATAAAACTAAAAAACAACCCGATTTGAAATCACCGTCCCCAACCTAATCAAACCTAATTTCCCAAATTCATTTTCTTCACCCACGTTCATTCCCTCTCTGTCCTTCTCCTCCTCACGCCGCCACCACCGTCTTTCACCCATCGCTGCCTCCACCGTGAAGTCGCCGTCGACGCTGTGGCAGCGTTGACGCTGCCCAGTTCGCCGTTCGAATCACCGCCGGAGACTATCTTACTTTTGTGGCGGAGGTAACGCAGCGGTTACCCCACTTTATTCAACCAACGGAAGTTGCAACAACTTAATCCATCCACCGGAAGGCGCATCGTCGCTGCGAGAACTGTGCACAGAGGCTATCGATGATGTGAGCGTCGTTGCGGGACGGTACCTACATCGTTATGGCTTCTGGCATCGCGACGTAGCAGCAACTTGGTGAGATGCTGACGGTGGTGGTGCGGTGGTAAAATGTTGACGGTGATGGTGGTGTTGGCGTTGATGTTGTTTATGGTGTTTTGGTGTTAGGGGTTTTTGTCTGTTGTGTTGATGGAGGTGCGGCGGTGATGGTGGATCTAGCGGTGGTGGCGGCAGTGAGGGTGGTGGGTTAATCGGCGTTGCATTTACCTAGCATCTATGGCGGGATCACAGCGGCGGTTTCCAGTGGCGCCCTTCTAAACTTTTCTCAATATATTTGCTGTGGTTTTTTGTGGTGATTTTGCGGCATGTTTTTTGTTGATTTTTGAGGTGGTGTGCAGGTGGTGGTAGTGTGCGGTGGTGATGGTGGCGACGAGTTTGTGGATTTTTTGGTGGGGTAGTTGTTGTGGTGCAGATAGAGATAGAGGAGATGACGGTGTGGTGGTGCTAGCTATGGTGACGATGGAGATGGTGGTGGTTGTAGATATGTGATGAAGTGGTGGTGCGGGCGGTGGTAAGGTGGTGGTCACAGTTATTTGGTCGTTTGTAATATTAAATTGGTTAATTTGTTATCGATAAACAATATGTGACCAATCAAAAAGATAAATTGTGACAAAAAATAACGTGTGACCTAAAAATTGTTAATTTGTGACCAATAATTTGATAATTTGTGATTACTAAATCTTAACTTAAAATATTTGTGATTTGTGACCAATGAATAAGTTGTGACGTATAAATTTTTTTGTTGTTGTTGGAGATGGTGTGGTGGTCGTTTGGTACAGGTGGCGGTTGTTGGTGGTTTTGTTAGTGTTGTGCAGGTGGCATATTGGTGGTCGGCGGTGGTTGGTGCAGGCGACGGTGGTTGCTGGGGTGTTTGACTATGTGACCAAAAAATTATTAATTTGTAACCTAAAAATTATTAATTGTGACAGATTGTGACCGATTGTGACCGTTTGTGACCGATTGTGACTAGTTAATTGTGACTCGTTGTAACCATTTGTGATCGATTGTAACCGTTTGTGACTGGTTAATTGTGACCAATTATGACCGATTGTGACTTGAAATTCTGAAAATTTTTTAGAAGTTGGGAATGGGTGGATGGGGAGGGTAAGTTGAAGTTGCCGGAGTGGTGTTGGAACAGTCTAATCCAGATTGCGATTTGACTACCGGGCAGTTCATTGTGACCGATTGTGACCATTTGTGGCCTATTGTAACCGTTTGTGACTGATTAATTGTCTCATTGAGACCGATTGTGACCGTTTGTGGCCGATTGTTACCCATCCATGGGTTGGGGGGTGTGATTTTCAATTTTCTAAAAATTTTGAAATTGCCAGAACGATCGCCGGAGAAGTCGCCGGAGCAATGGCCGGACCGTCGCCGGAGCAGTGATCGGACCGTCGTCGGAGCAGTGGCCGGACCATCGCCGGAGCAGTGGCCGGACCGGTGCCGGAGATGGAGGGCGGTGGTGTAGTGAGGAGATGGGGTGGGTGAGGTGTCATGGGGTGGTGTAAATAATTAATATATATTATATTATAATTTAATATTTAATTAATTTATTTATCACCTGATTTTTGAAATAATTAAACAAATTTGTTAGTTTTGAAATGTGAACTTTAAAACTAGTAGATATGTATTGTTCCCTTAATTAATTCATGGATCAAATTTAATTAATTTGATTAATTGAATATTGGACCGGGTTAAGTTTAACAGATGGGCCGAGCCCATTTGAACTTATATTAATAGGCTACTAGGGTTTGAAAACAGTATGGAATTTTTCATTATTCTTGCTAGCACAAGAAAAGAAAACCATAGCCGTCATTCTTGTTCTCTGTGTGGATCACCATTAAAGGCTGGACAATTGGACAACTTGGATTGCAGATCGTGATCATCGGAGTTCGTGAATCAGCAAAGGGTTTTGTGGAATTCATCAAAAGTATCATTCTCATCACAGTTTCTATCTAAACACATTGCAGATCCTCGTTTGGGAATTGAAAATTGTTTTATTTCCGCTGTGCATGTTAAGTAAATTCCCTACAGGTACTCCCTCGCTTCCAAATTCCAAGATAGGATGGTAGTCAAATCTAGTTTTCCGAACAAGCTAGGATTTGAATAGAGAGGATGCAATTTTATAGCTAGTCGGTTTCTGTTTGTAATTCCATGCATAGGTATCCAAATATAAGAAATTAATTACAAAAAAAAAAAAAAAAAATCTATTCACTAAAACTTCCAAGTTCCAACAGATCTTGACAAGAACAAAGAATTTACAATGTCTAACATCATCTATCTATCTATCTTTTTTTTCCTTTTTTTTTTATGAGACATCATCTATTTCCACATGCAACAAAAACAAGATTTGCACTATATCTAAATAACACAACAAAGAAGATTATACGTTAAATCAGTCAAGAATTCACCTCCTAAATCTCCAAGTTGATACCGCAAAAAGGGGTCGATCTTGCCAACAAATTATGACACAACCATTATCTTCCTTGATCTTATAGCCATCACAATTGTAACCTTGCAACAATTTCTTTGCTTGCAACATAGCATAATAGCTCAAAGGGACACTCGTAAAACCGGCGATATCAAATCTTTGTGCCCATTTTTCAAGCTTTTCGTGCCTTTCCTTCCTCTCCATGCGTTCACATGCAATAATATTCTTAATCTCCTCACCTAACATCTTCTCCATCCTCAATCTCTCCAAAGATGTTCTAGGCAAAGTAGACTCCAAACTGTCAAACAATGCAGCATAGAAGTACAATGATTCCGATATCCTCTCCATTAGGCTCGACCCATTGTGGTCGGAATCTTGTTCTGTAACCACCATGACCTTTGGCGACAAACCACATAAAGCATTAAGAAAGCCATCCATATTAGACGAGGGTGTTGAATATAATGGTGAGGAAGAAGCCGAGTCATTACTTGGACTACGACTATTAACCATATCTTTCTCAAGCAATTCACGTAAACTACTTTGGTTCATTTGATTGACCCTTTTCAAGTGAATATCGGCTGCATTCATTGACATCAGTAGAGACTTGTTCCTAAGTTCAGAATCCGATGCCAAAAGTGAATGCAACTGCATAATCGAACTAACTGCCAGAGCCTCTCCAGTTTTGATGCGCAGTTTTTCAAAATCAAGATGTTCCAGTTTACTAACTAAGGGGTTGAACTGAAACGGGATATCCAATTTCTGAGCTTCTTCAGTCAATACACGCGCCATTTGTTCCAACACCTCCTTTTTTTGATGAATCCCTGTTATTCTCAAATGGGGCGGTCCTTCAGGCCGCGCACTCAAATCTTGAATGAGTGCACACCATTGAGCAGGTTCGGCTGCATTCAAATCGATAACATGAACCATTTTTTCGCCTTCCATGGCTTCCACAATGGCTTGGTTAGTGATCACAAAAGCCACCTTCATAAATGGCAAGAACTCAGAAAACATTTTCCTCACAAGAATCTGTTCTGCATAAATTGAGATTCTGGTCGAATGAAAGGCCTTATAAACACCAGGCCAGTTTCTAAGGATCCTATCTGCTAGAGCCTCGGAGAAATATGAAGCAATTCGCTGCATCGTATCGCCATCGGGCGATGCAAGGTGGGAAATTTGATCGAGGGCTATGTTTGCATTTTCAAAACTGCCTGTAGCCACATGATTTGCACAAGTGACTAACAAATGGATTAAATATAATCCTCTCTCTTCCGGTTTTAGCTCCTTTAGCCATGGATATGGTGACATCATTCCTGGTGAAACGGACATCATGGGAAACATTTGCAGGGATGATGAAGTTACAGAGGAAGATCCATCTTCTTGAAACATTGGTACAACAAAAAAAAAAAAGTTGGTTCCTTAAATAAGTGAATCAGAAATCTCGTAACAATCCGAAAATATGCAAAAGTAAGGTCAGACAATAATTTTGATCTAATTAAATGCGAAAACAAACCAAAACATGGAACGGATCAAAGTATCTAGCTGCAAGAACTCACTTACCAAATCAAGATTTCAAAATTCCTCACCGGGTTTTACAATTCATCAAAAACCCAGAAAAAGGCCTCAAGAAAATACCCACAATTAGCAAGAACACTTGTTTTTCAGTGGATTTTGTTAGAGAGGGAGAGAAAGCGCTTGGTTGAGTTTTATGACTAAGAAATTACAAGATTTCAGTCGGTTTTGAAAGAGTTCCACATGGCTACGGTTGTCGTCTGTGCGTGAGGGGTAGTTTTTGTCGCCGTGTGTTTTGGTGTCGCTTTTACCTGTTGAAGGAATATGGAATTTGTGAGAACAAGTGCCATTTTTTTTTTGAGATGTGCTACTGGTACACAAGGATTCATATAAGGGTGTCCAAGGATCCATATAAGGGTGTCCATAATGGACACCCGGCTCCCTTCTATTGGAGGGAGTGTCGGACCCACCAACACTCCCTCTAATGGGAGGGCGTCAAGTGTCCATTATGGATACCCTTATGTACACCTTTGTGTACTTCTAGCACTTTTCTTTTGTTTTTTACACCTTTTTCCTCTCTACAAGAAGTTAAAAAAGTTCCCGTCTGGAAATTTGTACATATTCTTTGTCCATGAAATCTCTTGTCATTTTCTCCTCAAAGGGACGAAGGGAAATGGCTTGTCAAATGACAATAACGTCGCAGAGTTAAATAATAAATATTCAAGATAATTAAGCCTAATTTAATTTAATGTCAACAATTAATTTTAATCATGTAAATGAAATCCCTAATTTTTGTCAATTATTCAACTACAAATTTAATCATTTTATTAAAATCAAGTAAAAAAACCACAGTAAGATATTAAGCCACCATTTGATTTAACTAAAAAAATTGATAAAAATCGAAGTTAAAGTCAACAATTAATTTTATCATATATTGCTTAAAATCCACAATTTTTTTTCAACTTTTGCAAACATATACAAGAAGTTAGAAGGAACGCGGATAAAATCTTATTTGTTATATAGTTGAGTTTTGTCCAATGTTCTATACTAAACATATACTATTTTTTTAGCAGACCATCCCAATACAACTCTCCCCATCCACTACCTTCTCTACGTCTTTCTATATATAAAAAGTGCCTATTTAACGGAATTTGTTGGTTTAACGGAAAAACTAACGAAATTTGTTGTTTTAACGGATTATGTAACAGAATTTCTTGTTTTAAACAGGCAGCTGCACCTTCCTTCAATGTTTTTATCATAATTTTGTATTCCGATATTCGATTGAGGTGATTCAAAATGTGTTGGAAAGCTAACCCATCTGGCTACAACTTTGATTCAGACATTATTCTCCAATTCGATCACTTTCTATGCCAAAAATATGTCTCAATATAATGGACTATGTAACAGAATTTTTTGTTTTAAACAGGCAGCTGCACCTTCTTTCAGTATTTTTATCATAACTTTGTATTTCGATGTCCGATTGAGGCGATTCAAAATGCGTTAGAAATCTAACTCATCTGGCTACAACTTTGATTCAGACATCATTCTCCAATTGAATCACTTTCTTTGCCAAAAATAGGTCTCAATATAACGGACTATGTAACGAAATTTCTTGTTTTAAACAGGCAGCTACAATTTCTTTCAATATTTTTATTATAACTTTGTATTCTAATGTCCGATTGAGGTGATTCAAAATGAGTTGGAAAGTTAACTCATCTGGCTACAATTTTGATTCAAACATCATTCTCCAATTCGATCACTTTCTATACCAAAAATATGTCTCAATATAACGGACTATGTAACAGAATTTCTTGTTTTAAACAGGCAGCTGCACCTTCTTTCAGTGTTTTTATCATAACTTTGTATTCCGATATCCGATTGAGGCAATTCAAAATGCGTTGGAAAGCTAACTCATTTGGTTACAACTTTAGTTCAGACATCATTCTCCAATTCGACCACTTTATATGCCAAAAATAGGTCTCAATATAACGGACTATGTAACGGAATTTCTTGTTTTAAACAAGCAGCTGCACCTTCTTTCAGTGTTTTTATCATAACTTTGTATTCCGATATCCGATTGAGGCGATTCAAAATGCGTTGGAAAGCTAACTCATCTGGCTACAACTTTGATTCAGACATCATTCTCCAATTCGATCACTTTCTATGCCAAAAATAGGTCTCAATATGAGACTAAAACATCGGAGCATAACTTTTCGGTTGGAAATTGATTTGTGATCATCTTTTGACTAAATTTGATCCCCTTGACATCTTCCTTTATCCAATTGACTCCGAGCACTCTCAAATCTTCATCGTGAGATTCGGCACAACTTTTAAGTATTTACATTTTAACCCCCGAACTTTGGATCCCTTACAATTTAGCCATTTCTCCAAATTTGTCAACTTTTGCTTATTTTCTTCAATCTCACCAACCTACATCACAATATCAAAATCACACATCTAATTATTTATCAATTACATAAACATTACATCATTAATTATTTATAGGGTGTCTGTTTCTGCTTTTCAGCAGAAATCAAGCCGTTGGCAACGCAATTTATGCCGTTGGGAGTCGCAATTTTGGACCAATTCTCTCACTGTAGGGCTGTAGGTTTGAAAAAAATGGGTAGCATAAGCAATTTTTTTTCCTCCTTGCAGTGCGCCCAGACATACCCTTAATTAACCGAAAAAAAATTACATATTTATTAATAACAAATTAATTATTAAACAAAAATATTAAATATAAACTAAGCAAACGTGCATTGCACGTTGCTTGCACCTAGCATACATATAAGTACATATTGAAAACGATCCATGTCTCTCAAATTCAGTCTAAAATACTTTGTAGCCTACAAGAAATATTGCATAGTTTTGTTCAATATTTTGTACTAAAATCCTTTTGATGGGACCATCGGAAGAACAACTCTTCCCCTCACCCTCCATCCCTCTCCCTACATAAAGAAATACAAGTATGTATGTATGTATGTATATGTTGGAAATAATCCAAATGTCTCTTCTAGAATTTGGGAAAACTTTTGTGTTGTACGTTTGTCTTGACATAGGGTGTATAGGGAATCAAAGAGTTGGCCAAAGACATTAATATTCCTCAATATTCACTAGGCTCCAAACATGCTCTAACAAGACAAACAAGGTGCTAATGTGCTATCAGATTTGTTCCCTGGTTCATCTTAACTTGTAGCAATTGCAAGAACTAGTTCACTTTGGCAATATAGTTCCAATTTTTTATTATGTTTTCTTCTGCCAAAAAAGCCAATGACCTCTAAATTGGCATCATCTTCTCATGTGAAGAAAAAAACAAGGAGGGCCGAGGAAGAAGCCAGAGAGGAGCATCCCGAAATTTTAATATGATATATTTTAATGTTTTCGACCTAACTGGAATTTAGCGTGCAAGAATCAAGACGTATTGTTCATCCTTACTGTGAGAGTTATATCCACTTGCTAGTCGCAAATTTTTACTATAATAGTAAAAAAGAAGTATATAAAGGATCTCATACATCTTTTGTCCAAAAATATTGTAACGAAAAAGGAGTACATTATGCTCCACATAGTCTAACAAGCCAACAAGAAATTTCAAAGAAGAGTAAGCATACTTGAAGTGAAGAGTCGGCATGAGCTACCCGAAGAAAATAAAAAGAAAAGAATACATTGAAGATGTATGAACTACGCTTGATGACTTGGGGGTGAAAGGTGGTCTAATGATTAATTGAGTACATGAAGAAAACAAGTTATCAAAGGAGAAAGGAAAAAATCATTCTAAAAGTTGAAACCTCAAAAATATAAGTGTAGAAATTTCTGCATTTGTGTTGTTTGTTCAAGATTAAATTAAGTTTCCATTTTTAGCAAAAGAAAGATGGTTGGAGACGAATATTTTTACACAAGTCAGCTTCCCTAGACATAGAGGTCGATTGGCTGTTTTCCCCACTTGGCTCCATTTCGAACCTGCAATAAAATGTCACTGAACTCGGTTACTGCATTTCTTGTTCAGCATTGTAGAGTAAGGCTCTTTTTGATCCCCATTCTTTTCATCGTTATAATGAGAAATATGACCTTTTTTCCTCGTCATATTTCTCATTATAATGAGGAAAAAATGAGAATCAAACAGGGCTAGATGTTTAAAAAAGGCAAGATAAACAGGGGCGTACTTCAGCTGCCCTTAGACTAGGTCTTGAGGCATAAGTCTCAGTAAGTTGAGGCGTAAGCCTCGATTATGCCTCGACAAATGGTACCAAGGTGTAAGGTTCGATATGTTTAATGAAAACCTCACGTGCCTCAAGGCGCAATTAGACGACATTTGAAACAAAAAGAATCATATGGAAGTGCATCACAACCTCGACACTTTGAACATGGGTGATAAATATGATAAATTTTTTCAAGTTCTAAAGATAATAAATACATATTAGCTAAAAACATAAGAGGTCAACAGTCACTTTCAACTATTTTTATGGAGCCGAGCATGGGAGACAGTAATCTCAGGACCAACGTGTGCATTATTTTTCACAACAGCAATGTCTAAGACTTTATCAAGGAAACTCGTACAATAAGATGTACGTAAACAGTTTGAGGCAAATTAGTGAAATTGGGTAGAATAGAATAGGAAGAAAAATAAGAAAAACCTTAAGGCCAAGCAAGTATTTGTCTATTGATCCTAAAGCATTATATAAAGGATACTTGAAGCAAGAGAGGCTCCTCCAGTTAGTTCATTCACTCTACCAAGCAAGAATGGAGTTTCTGCACTGCCGGTTATGTTCTGCTCCCTGAGTTGAATAACGACATATAACATATATAACAAATAAGTAGCAATTGTCCATTTACAACTGTTTCAAAATTAACGTGATCGAAGAACAAAGATTTACCGAGCTTCCTTGAGAGCTTTTTGTATTGCAGACTCGATAAGATTTCCTGAAGCAGAGTATTCTTTTGGAATAGGGACAGCTACCAAAATCCCACTGTTGATGCCAAGATTCATGTTTGAATCTGCGGGACCGGAAGCAAAGAAAATTACTAAACATAAGCAAAGATGCATAATAGAAAATGAAGAAATGCCCTTGCCTATTAGTCGAGCACAATCTTCAGGCGAATCAACTTGACATGGTGCCTAAAATTTTTTTGGCAGAATTTACCAGTTAATAAATTTAAAAGAAAGGGGAAGAAAGAAAGAACTAAAAATAACTTCACCAGGAAAAATATTGCAGCAAATGCAAGTCTACAATTTAATGTAATACAAAAGCGATATATTATGTGACTATTTAGACACAATCACAGAATTTGGTGCTAAGGAAAAGAACAACACATTGGTCAGAAGAGTTACAGTCGGGACTCCTACAATAATGGAATGATGCTAAATGCTGTAATTATAGACCTTGTAGCCACTTGTTTCTGTGAAAAATGCAGGGAACTCATCTGTCTTATATGCTGCAACGCAAACCCCTTGAGTTTCCTGTAGTTCAACAAACAATAGTTTTTTTCATTTATCATGCATAAAGCTATAGGGTTTCTGTATAATATTTGGAGTAATAAGGAATTACCAAATATTCGAGGGTTCTTGGGATATCTAATATTGATTTTACACCTGCAGAAATTACAGCAATTGGAGTCCTTCCTAACTCCGTAAGATCAGAAGATATATCCATTGCTGCAAGAAGAACGATTGAGTAATAATCAAAAAAAGGTTATTCTGCAATTACTTTGCTTCTTTACCAATTATCACTCCACCAGCCTCAAAAAATTTATGATTCAAGAGTGCACTCAATGGTTGTGGTCAACACTACAAATGAAATCTTGTTTGTTAACTTACTACTCTCTCCATATCTATGCACTCCACCAATACCCCCAGTAACAAATATTGGAATCCCAACCTGCAAATATGTGGAAAAATAGCAATTACACTCCCCTTTATAGGCACATCTGGTAGAAAAAGAAAAAAAAAAAAAAAAAAGAAGCAAAATAGCAAAGAAGCTTATAAGATTGCAACATTCACCATAGAAGCAAAAACCATTGTTGCAGAAACAGTCGTTGCACCATTTCCTCTAGTAGCTACCTGGAAAATTTGGTAATAATCAATGCATAGTACTGTCATACACCTGTTAAAACAATCTAAGCTCATATAAGGCATTAAGAGCATGTCTGGCTAAGCTTATAATCTACTTTCTAAAAAGTAAGTTAAGACTTGATTCCTAGAAGTAGGTTTTGTTAGTATTCTTTTTAAACTTTAGCCAAATGTGCTCGTAAATTTTTTTTCACGTTCAACAACTAAAATAACACTTTATCGATGTTCAACAATATAAATGTTGCCAAACATACATTCAAACAGCAGACATATGGTACTAACCAAAACAACTTGATGGAAGAAGGTAAAACCTGGGCTAGACATGCTAAATATCTAGCAGAAAAAATATAAATGGTCATGAAATTTGCGCAGCAGGACATCAAATCTGGGGAATGAAGAGTTTTTCACATCATGAGAGTTATTACTGTAAATTGAAAAAGCCTAGTGATTCGCCCAAGCATCAAATGGTGATGAGAAATATTGAGAGTTTCTATCTCTCATATTGTAATCAATATTGTTAATACCAGATGTGTTTATAAAAGAAATTATCCAAGGCTGCAGACAAACACAATTAAGCTAGCTTCTAATACTCACAACATGTGCAATGTCCCTGCGAGCTGTCTTCCGAGCTTTACTTCCCATTTTAGCCAGCCTCTCTATTTCTTCCATACTCAAGCCTACAAATAAAACATTGGTCTACAAACGTAAAAAATACATACAGATTTTTCCTTCTTTTTTCGGTTCTGAAAATGAGTTGGCATCAATAAATGGCAGACTAAATGAAAGAAGCTTTACGGTTGACTAACAATATATTCTATTCTGAAAATGAGTTTTATGCATAACTAGCAGACTAAAAGAAAGAAGCTTTAAGGCAATCAATAAGATCAAATTTACGAAAAGGAAATAGGAGCAAATTTGCCACCATTACATGAGACAACAAGTAATTGAAAATAAGGTAAAGAGTTAGCCCTACTCCCTCAACGAGAAAATTCTTCAAAAAGGAAAAGAAATAAAACAGGAGAGAAGTTCTGTTATCCAACATAAGAGCCTGAAAATGTTATGATAGCTCATCATTCATCGCATTGTATTTTATTGGTAAATATAACCATTATCCAGTGAGCCATCAGACAAGATTCCATTTACAAATTACAAGACAAGAACATGTTTAGTTTTCATTAAGTGAGCTGTTCACAACTTCTTAAGAAGGAAACTTCAGATTTCTAATTTTCCAATGTCTTCTACCCATATAAAAATGTAAAACAGAATCTGCAGATAGGATCATGCTCAAAGACAGAGGCAAGAGAGCAGAGACTTAGCTAGTAATAATGTATCTGACAGGTCAATTGGATTTCGAAAGAAATTTGTTAAGCTTAGTTGATAATAGCTAGCAATAACCATATCTGAATATTTTTAAACTTTGCTCTGACAAGATCTAAATTGTACTACCCAACTGTTTTTCAAATTAAAATTTAAAAATGTATTTCCTAGCACTACATTAAGCCCATGTTTGACACCCATTGTTTTTTTTTTTTTCAAAACTCATTTTTAACAACCCATTCTTCCATAAAATAATTTTACACGAAAACCCAAATATTTTCCCTAATTTTTAACTAGACATTCTCCAAAAAAAAATCACCATTCCAAAACACATTTTCCTCAAAAAAGGGGTCCCAAACAGGAGGTAAATGTTTCTTGAGAAACTCTTGTGGACTGTGGTACTATACCCGTTGACGAGGATTTTGAATGTTATGAAGAAAAACGTACAGAAATTAAAAGAAACTCACAGTGAGACAAAAAAGAAGTTTGGATAAACACCTATGCATGGTACACCGTCCAAAATAGCGATGGTGGCTGGCACAGCTCCGTTTTCTCTGACTATTGCTTCCACGTCTTTTGCTGTCCCCACATTTAGAGGATATGGCATCCCTAAATATAGGTGAAATGACATGTATAAATATGAATGATGAGGTTTCTTTTTATCAACAACCAACAAGTTTAAGCATGTAAAAAATAGAAACTGTGATCCATAGAATAATAGTTTCTCAATCAAACAAAACTCAAATCATAACAATTTTTTTGGCAAACAAGAACTTCGAGCTATTTCATTGTCAATGCTAGATTCATAAGGCATCCAAAAGCTTCCCCATGACACACACAATTTTCCGTCATATAAGACAAAGGACATAAACAGAAAGTGAAAGTTAAATAAGAATATGAACGCTGAACTTGATGGCATGCCAGCATATAAAAGTTTGTATCCACGAAAATAACTCTACCTATAGGCCACAATAAGGTACCTTAAACAGGATCTACTGATACAGTGCAATGCAATTGCAAGACGTGCTTGTGCCTAGCTAGTAACTCTCTTGTTAAGTTGTCGAAAATATCAATAAATAAATATAAAGGAATCCATCAGGCTCTTTCATCTTTTTATCATTCTCTTTGGTTTATTGTTTAGATTGACAAAGAAAAACTTAAGGATGGCTTAAAAGTTGTGTGACTGCATTTTGCATACCATGAGAAATTATGGTGGATTCTAGAGCAACCACTGGTTTCCCACGCGTTAAAGCTTCCGAAACTTCTGGGGACATCTTCATCAGTCCTTCACCCTACACAATCAACTAATTAATCAAGTCATACTACAATTAAATGGGGGTATCAATGTAGTTATTTGACGCTGCTGCAATTTTCTTATACTGATTTTCTTTGAGTTGAGGGCAAATTCTCGAATGAGCTTGGCAAAGTTTTAGAGTTATATTTTATTAACAAAAAACTTAACATTTAAATACAGCTAATGGTGAACTAATAAAATATTCTTGAAATTGCAGAGGTACAGAAATTACACCTAAAATGTTATGATAGTGTGTATATAGATACATACAGAGACATCAGTAAAGAAAAATTAGAGCAAGGGGGCAGAAAAAGAGAGTACCTTTGAGGTGGGATTTGAAGGATTGAAGTGTCTTCGGAGATTAGCAATCCTGGAGAGAGCTGAAGACGCCATTAATGGGAGTCAAAGTGCTGCAAAATTGACGGAGAATTTGATTCTTGAAATTGAAGAAGTAAAATCTTAAGACTCCTCGTCACTCTGAAATAATCGGATTAAGACGTCTATAGGGATTTTTTTCTTGAATAATGCTATTGTACATTACCATTTTGACGCGATAATTAGTCATTTGTTGATGTATAAGCGTGAAATTTAAATTAAAAATTGCATCACAAGCCACGTGTAATTATGTGAATCATTACGTGAATAATTATGTACACGTAACATTACTCTTTTTTCTTTCTTCGAAAAAATATTTTTTCCTTTCAAGAAACCACTCCCTAACATTAGAATGTAGAATAAATCCATATCACGTCATCGTGACGACCTTCCAATCTGTTGGACAATTATTACGGTAAATCCAAGAGAAACAAATGTTTGTTTAAAGAATTCCGCTAAATACATAATAACCTTTTTTTTTTAATCTTTTGAAGTCCAACAAATATATAAAATAATAATTACTTCAATTTATAAAAATTCATACTATTACCGGTAGATTTATGTTCTATGTGTACATGAAATAAATTGACGATCAATCTTCCAAGATATTACACTTTGAAGTCAATGCACATACTTTTATAATTTTAAATTTCATTACATTCAATGCTTTTTTTTATTTCCTATATGTATTATGGTAAAACATAATATAAGTTATAAAAATATTAAATACTCTATAAATTAATAAATATTCATTTATCGATAAATTAACAACCCATATAAAATAATATTTTTTATTGATCGCAACATTAATATTTTATAAAAGCTTTACAGTATTTCAATTTTTTTTAAAAAAATTTATACTCATTTTCAATAAATTTGGATTCAGTATGGATAAAAGAACTTCATATGTTATACTATTCAAGTCTCGACGACGAATTGATTTGATAGCTTAGATATTGTTATTCATGATTTGATAACCTCACGGATAATTACATTACCCTTAGAAACGTCCTTTATTACGAGCTTTTACGGGCGACGTCTCTAGAAGTCTGGGATGGCTCAGCTGTGCCAAGGAAAAGAATAAAAGAAGGATTTGTACCCTGTCGAAGTAAGGAACCATGTCATATATGTTTGGAATAGATTCCATTTTGAAACAAGTAGGCTATTTCTTGGCAAAATTGTGCCTCCCATAACTAACTCTTTGGTATATCTCTTGCTGGAAGTAACCCCGATCCCATTGATAACGAGTGGGCCCTCCACGAAAAGTAAGAAATTCCGCATATTTTGACCAATTCAAGGTCAAAAATGGGGTTGCTCCCTCGACGGGCTACATAGTTATGGTTCATTTACATTAACATCTAATTGAATTCAAAAGTATTCAAAAAAGACTATGGGCTGAGGAGCAAAAGGAAGAATCCGCTCGAGGAGGGGCTTGCGTCCGATTAGCTAGTTGGTGAGGTATACATTTGTGTATCGATAAGACCATTCACTATTTCTTGAAGCTCGATCTCTTCCCGGATGAACCGTATATTTACATAATAAAATATTTATTGATCCCAACATTATTATTTTATAGAAACTTTACTGTATTTCAATTTTTTTTAATTTTATACTCATTTTCAATCACATATTTACATAATAAAATATTTTACACGTAAATCTAAAAAATTCATATTTTTTAACTACTCATTCTATAAAAAAAATAACTATTGAAAACTCAATTTTCTCAAAGTAATGGCCATCAAATAGAGGCTAAAGTAAATTGGAGAAAATCTAATATATGCCCCGTTAAAACTTTGTTTAATAAAAATCTAATGGGACAAAAAAATCAAAACGAAGGAAAGAAAGTATAGTAATTTTGGAGTATTAAAGATATATGATGTTCCATTAAAATCTTGTTAGGAAAATCCAGTGGAATAAAACGTAAGCGAAGGAAAAAGAGTACAGCTACTTCCCCTGATGTTAGTCACTGAAAATCTTTGAGTCAATACATTTCAATCCCGTGAATCAATTTCTTGAATGTAGATGTAGCAGTGCTTTTGTAAATAGATCAGCCAAATTGTCACTTGAATGAATTTGTTGAACTTCGATGTCGCCATTCTTCTGAACCTCATGTGTATGAAAGAATTTTGAAAAAATATGCTTCGTCCTGTCACCTTTGATATATCTTCATTTGAGTTGTGCAGTACAAGCAGCATTATCTTCATACAAAATTGTTGGACTATCTTTTGTTGAAATTAATCCGCATGATACTTGAATATGATTGGTCATGTTTCTCAACCATACACATTCTCTGCCTGCTTCATGGATTGCAATAATTTCAGAATGATTTGAGGATGTTGCTGTCAATGATTGCTTCACAGATCTCCATGAAATAGCCTTCCTCCACGTGTAAACACGTATGCTGTTTGTGATTTAGCTTTATGTGGGTCAGAGATATAATATGCATCTGCATATCCCACTAAAGTAGATCTCGATTTTTGAGAATAAAATAATCTCAAATCAATAGTATTCTTTAGGTAGCTAAAGATATGTTTAACATCATTCCAATGTCTTTATGTTAGTGTAAAGTTATATCTTGCAAGGAGATTTACAGAAAAAACTATGTCGGGTCGAGTGTAATTTGCAAGATAAGTTAATGCTCCAATTGCATCAAAATATGATAGTTCGGACCAAGAATCTTTTCTCCATCTTTAAGTGGATGAAAATGATCATTTTTTATATCAAGTGATCGAACAACCACATGTGATGCCAATGGATGTATATTATCCATATAAAATTGTTTTAAGACTTTTTCTGTATATGTAGATTGATGAACAAATAATTCTGCTAGAATATGTTCAATCTGCAACCCGAGATAGAATTTGATTGTTCCTAAATCTTTCATCTCCAAATTCATTTTTCACATAATCTACAATTTTGTTGAGCTCTTCAGAGTCTCATATTATAATATTATTTTTAGGGTATATGTCTTTTAGGTTATGGATATTAATCACACAAAGAATATGCCTATGATAAGTACATTTTTACATACTTATTTAACTGTCAAAATATGAGCAATTGTTGATTCATATGTTGGAATATAGCTTAATTCTATGCAATTCATGTTTTGCAAGACAAGTGATGAATGTAGCAGAAATAAGGAGAAACAAGTGAAAAATGACCAAAATAGAAGAAAGTGAAAGTTCAATAACTAAAGTGCAAATACTCAAAAATTATGTCGGGACTCACAATGAAGGTTCGAGAATGCTAAGGGTCTATTAAAAGCAATTAGAAGTCAAAAAAGAATGGAATATTATCAAAATCAATTTCCAATTCGCACAAGATATATTCCAGATTTTTAGCAGAAGATTGAAACCCATTTTTGGCATAATAAAAGTCCGAATTGGAAAAGATCTATTTCTAACAAAGTTGCAACTCTTCGATATATATTTCTAACGCATTTTTAATCGTCTAAATCGGATGTCAGAAGAGAAAGTTACAACCAAATTACTGACTGCTGTGCAGAGACAAAATCCGCGAGCGAAAGGAACTTTCCTTATTCGATTAGAACTCTTTTGGAAACCAATTTGGACGTGATTTTAATCTAATTTCCGACTCTTACAAATACTTAACAGTAGAATACATATGGAGGAGGTCCCCATACACCATTTTTCTCCTCTTTGACTCAAAAAATTCATGAAGAACTAAATATCTTGGTGAAACTACGAAGGAATTCGATTGGAATTGGTGATTTCATATCTTTTATTCATTTAATTTGATCTTTTCATTGTCAAAAAATGTTAGAATTTAGATTTTCATTCTCTTGAATTTATATTGAAATCGATTTAATATTTACAAGATTTTTCATGAATTCAGTCATGTTTTTTCCATCGTTCAATCAAACTATTTATTGAATTTCAATTTCAATTATTTATTGTTGAGATTGGTTTAACAATTATTATATCCTTCATAGATTCAGTCATGCTTCTTCTATCGTTAGATTAAACTAGTTATTGAATTTTAATCTCAATTTCACTTTATTGGCGGATTGATTACTGCCTTATGCTTGATGTATATGGTCGATCTTTGATCTTGTTCTAATAAAATTGTGTGAATATGTCTTAAATCTAAATTCTATGATTACATTTGTAAATTAAATTGATTTTCACGATATATCTTCCGATTAGAGTACCGGGATGAAAGTTTCTAATTATGTTATAAAAATGAATAATTGATATGATTAATCCAATTCAATCGAGGGAATTCTGACGTTTCACCGCTTCGAATTATTGATTTTAATTTCAGGTTTCAATATTGAATTTTATTACACATTTGAGAGAACAATTCAACTTTTTTTATCCTTTAAATATTCTTCCATCACCCTGTGGATACGACACCCCAAAGTTATGCTACAACTACCGCATTATTTTTTGGACGTAATCAGCCTCGTTAAAACCTTATTAGAAAAAACCATGTGAGAAAAATCCTAATGAATGAAAAAGAGTGCATCATTCTTTTAAGTACGTTACAAGAGTTGTGTCATTAAAAACCTTAACAGGAAAATCCAATGGGACAAAGCCTCTGTCAAGGGAAAAAGAGTACAACCCGCACTTACTCCCCAATTGATAATATCACTTGAATTATACTTCAAACATATTAAATCTTTACAAAATAGTATCAAAATCATAAATTGTCTATAATAACATTTATTACAGTATATCAAATTTCATGCATTGTCACGCTAATGAAATAGAGATTTGTGATTACATCCACCACATGATAATTTATACAAGTTTTCATGAAATTTATATTACGACTTAACTTTTTCCATTTTCATTTCGCATAAATATACACCTTTATATGTTCAGATTGTAGATCCAGAAATTTCATATTTTTCTAGTAAATTCTTTTACTTGGATCGCGTCATTTTATTTGGTCAATCATTACTTCGATCGATATATTTCAACGAATTTATTTCGATTCATCGCTATTCATAATATGATGCAGTACATCATGTACAAAAGTATTGTCGACAA